CCGGCCCCCGCGCCCGTCTTAGCCGGCCCCCGCGCCCTTCCTAGCTGGCCCCCGCGCCCGTCCTACCGGCCCCCGCGCCCGTCCTAGCTGACCCCGCGCCCTTCCTAGCTGGCCCCGGTGCCCGTCCTACCGCCCCCCGCGCCCATCCTAACGGCCCCTGCGCCCGTCCTAACCGGCCCCGCGCCCGTCCTAGCTGGCCCCGCGCCCATCCTAGCTGGCCCCGCGCCCGTCCTAGCTGGCCCCCGCGCCCGTTCTAGCTGGCCCCGCGCCCGTCCTAGTCGGGCCCCGCGCCCGTCCTAGTCGGCCCCGCGCCCTTACTACCGGCCCCAGCGACCGCCCTAAGCCCGTCCTAGCTGACCCCGCGCCCGTCCTTCCTGGCCCCCACGCCCGTCCTAGCCGGCCTTGCACCCGCCCTGCTGGCCCCCGCGCTCGTCCTGCCAACCCCGGCGCGAGCCCTGCCCGTCGACCTCCGGCCCAGTGCTCACCTTCCCGCCGGCCTGCCGCTGATCTGTGTGCAGCCCGCTCTTCGGGTACTGCCCTGCACCCTCCTTGGTACGGTTCTGCATCCCCCTGCACCGCACTGCAGCGCACTGCACCGCGCTGCACTGCACTGCACTGCATCGCACTGTACCGCACTGTACCGCACTGCACCGCATTGCGCCGCACTGCTCCCTGCACTGTTCCTGATGGTGGGGGAGCTTCTCTTCGATGGTGAAGGCCAGCCTCTGGAGTTCGAGGCCTGGCTAGCTGACCTCCGCCGCCACCTCACTAGCCAGCGGCAGGATGGCCACCCGCTTTCGATACACCTTGACGGTACGCTTTCCTGCCCAGACCCCCCTGCTGTGCTGCCAGCTGACCCCACACCTACTGAGCGTGAGTCTGCTGCGGCCGCTGCCCTTGCTCGCTCTGTCTGGCTTTCCCGTGACGCTGTCGCACAGCTTGCTATTAGCAATGCCCTCCCCCCGTCTGAGCGCCCACGCCTTCGGTCTATCACCACCGCCCAGGCTTTCTTAGATGCTGTTATCAAGCGCTATTCCACCCTACCTGCTGCCTCGGTGGGTCGCCTAATCCTCCCTCTCCTCTTCCCTGACCTAACGTCGTTCCCCACGGTTGCTGATCTAGCTGCCCACCTCCGCACGATAGATGAGACCTGGCGCGCTGCCTGCACTGACGCACAGCTTAGAGCCCATCAGCCGCCCCTTACCTCTACCCTCTACCTGCTTGCCACCCGCCTCCCTGACTGCCTTGCCGCTGCTCGTGACCGCTTCCTTAGCATTCATCCCGGTAACCTCACCCTCACAGACTTTGTAGACACCCTGACTGTTATCGAGACCCGCCACCGCTCTATCGCCCAGGCGAGCGGTACTGTGCCGGTCCCTATCTTTCAGGGTTGTGCCCCCGCTCAGTGCACCTTCTCCGATGGTTCTGCAGTTGTGGCTAAGACCGCCGCTGCAGTGCAGTTCCGTCCGGGGAAGGGTCGCCACCCCAAGTCTAGGCGCGGCGGAGGGGGTGGGGGAGCAGGTGGAGGTAGTGGTGGAGTCGGGTCGCCTGGTGGTGGAGCGGACGAGGGGACCCTGCCGGGTTCGGCCGAGCAGCCGCCCCACCACCCGCAGCAGCAGCAGCAGCCGCAACCCCCACACCAGCCGCAGCAGTCGCAGCAGACAAGGCCGGCAAGTGGCCTCCCGCACGGATGGCCTGGCGCTGGTGGTGGCCGTGCGTGTGGTGGTGTTCCGGGTTGCGGTTGGGGAGGCGTGCGCTGTCAGTGCCAGCTCCAGACCGGTCCTCGCCGTGGCTTCGTTTGCGGTAAGATCGGTCACACCACTGCCCGCTGTTTTCGTCGCCTGGACGACCTGTTTCGTCAGCGCTTCAGCCCGTCGCCCGACCTCCCGGACTGGCACAGTTTGCTTAGTCGTAGAGTTCATATTTTTGACATAGACATGGATGCCATTGTTGCTGCCCTGCATGTGATGTATATTGATGACTCTAGTGTGCTACCCTCTTATTACTCCTTGTCCCCTAGTGTAGGTGTGCCTAGCTTAGCCTACCCTGCTGCGTCAGGTGTAGGAGCTCCTGCCTTGTTTAGCCTTGGTGCCTCCGTCGTTGCCCCGTCGCCAGACGCCACTGCTGCGCTTTCCTTCACCTTGGACTCTGGCGCTTCCCGGTGTTTCTTCCGCGACTCCACTACGCTGACGCCGCTTCCTGTTCCTGCTGTAGTTTCCCTTGCTGACCCCTCCGACGGTCCAGTTGTCGCCCGCAGTTCCACTACACTTCCCTGTCCGGCGGTTCCTTCGGGCTCCCTCACAGGTCTGCATATCCCCTGGTTCTCCAGGAACCTAGTTGGTGTCGGCTGCCTCCAGGACCTTGGCGTCACCACTACGTTCCCTGGTCACGAGCGGTATGCTGTCTGTACCGAGGCCGCCACTAATGCCCCCCTTTCCACGTTCCCCCGGGACCCGGTGTCCGGCCTGTTCACCCTGGACACCGTGCCCCCCCCGGCTGGGGCGCCCCCTCAGGTGGCTGCGTCTTCCCAGGTTGCTGCTGCCTGTTCCTGTCGGTCCCTCACTCACCCGACTCTCCTGTCGCACCACCGCCTCGGTCACCCTGCGCTCCCACGCCTGCGTCACATGTCCCAGCCAGTCTCGTCCTTGGTCTCCCTGGTTCGTTTCCTGCTTTTTCCTCCTCCCCCGCCCCACAGTGCTTGCCTTGTGTCGAGGGTCGGCTTCGCCGTGCCCCTCACTCCTCCTCCTCGTGCTGCGGTCGCTGACTTCGCCTCTACCCGCCGCCTTGACTATGCCACCGCTCTGGTCTCTGACCCTGCATGTCCTTCGTCTGTCAGGGGTGCTCCTGCCCTCGGCAGTGACGTCCTGGAGGACCGCCAGTTCGAGCTTGCTTTCCTGTCCGAGGCTGCTCCCCATCTCTGTTCCATGCTGCTAGTCCCTGAGGGTGACCCAGACGCTTTCGACATCCCGACCCCTCGCACTTACGCTGAGGCGACCTCGGGTCCCTGGGCCTCTCAGTGGATAGCTGCCATGGAGCAGGAGATGGCATCTTGGAGATCCACCGGCACCTACGTCGACGCAGTTCCCCAACCTGGGGTGAACGTAGTCGATGGCCGCTGGCTCTTCAAGGTGAAGCGCCCTCCTGGAGAGTCGCCCGTGTTCAAGGCGCGCTACGTGGCTAGAGGTTTCAGTCAGCGTGAGGGGGTGGACTTCTTCGAGACCTTCGCTCCGACCCCGAAGATGACTACTCTTCGGGTGCTGCTACACGTAGGTGCTCAGCGTGAGTACGAGATTCACTCCCTCGACTTCTCCACTGCGTTCCTTCAAGGCAGCCTACACGAGCAGGTCTACCTGCATCGCCCTCAGGGGTTCACTGGCACCTTCCCTCCTGGGACCCAGTGGCTCCTGCGGCGTCCCGTCTACGGCCTGCGACAGGCTCCCCGTGAGTGGCACGACACGCTGCATGCTACCCTTGCTGACCTGTAGTTCTTTCCGTCCTCCGCAGACCCCTCACTTTTCGTTCGTACTGGCCAGACTCCGTTCTACATCCTCGTTTATGTGGATGATCTGGTCTTTGCCACAGCAGACAGGGACGCACTGGCCTCGGTGAAGGCAGAGCTGCTGAGGAGACACACTTGCACTGACCTTGGAGAACTGCGCCGTTACCTTGGTTTGCAGATCTCCAGGGATAGAGCAGCGCGCACCATCACTTTGACTCAGTTACACGTGGTGCGCCAGGTCCTTCAGAGGTTTGGCCTTCAGTTCTCCTCTGCACAGCCCACCCTTCTGCCTGTAGACCACAGACTCTCCGCTCCAGTTTCTGAGGAGTCAGTAGAGCCCAGTGGTCCTTACGCAGAGCTGGTGGGTTGCGTCATGTACCTGATGACTTGCACTCGCCCAGATCTCGCATACCCTCTCAGCATCCTGGCTCGCTTTGTGGCCACATGTAGACACCGACCGCAGCACTGGTATGCCGCTAAGAGGGTTTTGCGTTATCTCGCAAGTACATCGGGCATGGGGTTAGTGCTAGGAGGACGCAGGCCAGTGGTCCTTAACGGGCACTCAGACGCTTCTTGGGCAGACGACGCCGAGACACTCAGGTCTTCCGAGGGCTACTGCTTCAGCCTTGGTTCAGGTGCCGTCTCTTGGAGAGCTACCCGCTCCTCGTCTGTTGCCCAGTCCAGCTGTGAGGCCGAGATCTACGCTGGTGCCATGGCGGCACAGGAGCTCCGCTGGCTGACCTTCTTGCTCACTGACTTAGGTGAGCGGCCTAGCTCTGCCCCGGTCCTGTACGCTGACAACAAGGCCATGATCCTCCTGTGTCAGGAGCCTTGACTCGAGGGCAGAGCGAAGCATATCCAGCTGCGGTACTTCCTCCTGCGCGAGCTACAGCAGCGCCGCCAGGCTCGTGTAATACACTTGGCCTCAGGTGCCAACACAGCTGATATCTTTACAAAGGCGCTTGCGCCTAAAGATCATCAGCGGCACGGTGTACAGCTCGGTCTAGTTCCCTTCGCCTCTCACTTGCTAGGGCCTTGACTTTGTACTGTCCCTTATATATATTTACTTAGACTGGACTTGTGTCCTCTCCCAGTGGCTGGACTAGTAGTGCCGCCCTGGTCTTGTTCTTGCCTTGTCTGTACTCCTTCTTGACTGGTCTTTAGACCCTTATCTCAGTGGCTGGACTAGTAGTGCCGCCCTGAGCTGCTTGTTCAGGAACTGCCCCTATGCAGTCTAGGGGGTGTGTCAAGCATTTGTATCTCTAGTGTTAGTATAGACTGTTTAGGGTCACCTCTTAGAGAGTACAACCCTTAGGCATATATCCTTGTACCCATGTTCTCTAGTCATTCGATTGTTCAGTTCTAAGATATACCCCCAAAAAATGTCTGAAAAAAGTCTGAATCAGAGTACAAAGTCTGTAATTTGGGGGCCTGCTTTTTACCCTTACAAAATCAGGGTATTCTCCGGAAAGTGGCCGCTGGCAAGGGTAATCAGGGTGAAATATCCTTAACTCACTGGCCCTGGCAGTAATGGGAAAATCCATTCATAATGAAAGGGTGTAACAAGAGAAACAAGTGCCAGTGCCGAGAGCTACTGTCATTTACAACTCTGTTACCCTCCAGCACAATTGCTTATTCCCGTGCCAAAGAAAGAGCTCCGTTATGGCTTGTTGCTGTCAAGTGGGCAGCAACGGAGCCTTATTGGGGAGACTCTTGGGGTCTTGTGACTCGCAGAATGTTCACAAAGAATCAGGTTCAGGTGGTGATGGAATGCTCGCATGTTGAGGAGCTTACAGCAAGGGGGTTCAGAATAAGAGTCCCCCTCCAACCCACCCCACGTATGGTGGTAGCAAGAAGTGGCCATGCTGTTGCTTCTGCTCCAACTGCAACGGCTGCTGCTGCTGCTTCTGCTGGATCTGGATAGCACAAGTATGTGGTAATGGTGTAACCAGATCCACATCAGCTCCGCAAGCTTCATGTTTGTTTGGTTCTCCTGTCATCTCCCTGCCACTCTGAGACAGAGGGCTCTTGGTTGGAGAGCTGGGGGAAAACATGGCGCTAGAAGGCGAGACGTGACTATACGGAAACTCAGACTCCGAGAGGGAGGCTAATAACGGGAGGCTGCTCCAGCTGCCAAGGAGGGAGATGGCGTCCTGTACAAGAGAGGAGGGAGAAGAGAAGAGATCTGACGTGTAACTGGTGGTTGGGGTGGTCGGGACCGAATGGCTGATCAGATGAGGAAGATAGTACTCGCTGTACAGAATGTCTTCGTCATAGTGCTCTAACTTATAGGCACCATCCAGGCTGTTGCTCCTCCAGCCGCTGGTGAGTGCGGTCGGAACTTGAGTTGCGCTGTAGAAGGCTGCTTCCGTGGTGGGACTCAGCCACGGGTGGCGAAGAATCTGCTCTGCTGTGGGCCGTTGATTTTCCTCTTTCGTCAACATCCAACAAATCAGATCTTTCACGACAGATGAAACCTCCGCCCAAACTGAACCACTCTCTTCGTCAAAAGTAAAACTGCCTTCGCGAATGGTTTCGCCGATTTCGTCGTCGTCGTCGCCACCGAAGGGAACGCAACCGGAGAGCAATACGAAGAGAACCACTCCCAAGCTCCACACGTCGGCGGGAAAAGAATAGCGCCCGGAGAACACCTCTGGCGCAAGATAATAGGCGCTTCCGGCGATTTCCTTCGCGCCTCGACAGTCTGCCACCTCGATCAACGACAGCCCGAAGTCAGTCAGCTTAACCAACGACCCGTCGTCCGAATCGCAGAAATTCTGGCCCTTCGCCTCGTGTCGTCTGCTGCCGCATTCGCTTTCTCCTTGAACCGCGCGATCCGCCACGGTATCCTGAATCAAATCAGTCGAGACGTGATTGTCGCGCACTGGCCTCGTTAGGAGCACGTTCTCGGGCTTCACGTCCCGGTGCAGCACTCCCCGCGCATGGCACTCCGCCACGGCCCGCGCAATCTCCGCGAACACCGCGCGCGCGGGGGATTCCGCCAGGTGGTCCGTCAGCTCTACCAGGCGCAGCAAATCACCCCCCGCGCACAGGTCCATCACCAGATGCACTGCGCGGGAGTCTTCCCAAACTCCCGCTAGCGAGACGACGCCGGGACACCCGGCCAGCCGTCGCATGATCGCAACCTCCCGTCGCACGGCATCGCGACTGTCGCGCGTAGCGAGCGACGCTTTCGCGATCGACTTGCATGCGAATCTCCGGCCTGTCGCGCGCTCGCGGCACTCCCGCACGACGCCGTACTGACCGCGCCCTATCTCGGGTCCGAGGTCGTAAGAGTCGCTCAGAGTCCCGGAGTTCAGAAGCGTGCTGTTAAGTACGGCGATCGATGGTCCCATACGGAACAGACGGTGCTCACTGGACTCGAATAACCTGGCAGCGTTTGGAAGGAGACACGTCGAAAGATTGAGCAGAAGGGCTCGAATATGGCTGTAATGGCGAGGGAATGCGAGAATGGCCGAGTCGGCCCGTCAATTCGCGCTCACACACGGCTTGGTGGGAGAAGGTGGGTAGCAAACTCGCGGGTAAGATCGCAATCCTTGAGAGACCAAGAAAGCACAGCTAGAGTAGTCAGTGGAAGATGATGGGCTTTAGTTGGGTTGGATTGGCCGATGCAGTGTACCTGCGTCGCCTGAACTGGCTCGGCTGTGTGCTAGCTTGCTGTACAGAGGTACAGTTTCCCACTGGGAAACGATGGCGCGCACTTGAACTGCATTTTGTGATGTCTGCAACGCAGGGGGAGGGGCAGTTGTGGGACGAAATGAAACCAAACAAAACGGAAGTCTCCGCCCAAGTCTTCCCTCCCCACCCCCTCCCCCCACCCTTCCCCCTCCCCGCACGCACCTCATCGGGGGAGGGGATTGGCTGGGCGCAGGCGGATCAACCCATTTCGTGGGTCCGTTTCTCTATGGTTGCTTGCTGCCCTGCATTCAGCAGCACCAGGTGTTCCGGAACTAGCGGCTGCTATTTCGTCGTCCCGCCGACAGAGGCGTTTTTTTCCAGCTTGAATGCTGTAATAACGAGCGGGAGCAAACCGTGGTGTGCTCCGTGCCCGAGAGATGAAATTTGTGTTGGTGTACAGTTACGCGGCACTGTTCACACTGGCATCTGACAGCCCACGCTGCCCAAGTCAAGGAAGTACAGCTACAGTCCTCCCCTCTTCCCCCCATTTTCCCCGTCTCCCCCTTCACGCCCCACACCCTGTGTCTTTCCGCAAATAATCGCCTCGCCACAAGGTTGGGCAGGTGAACTGAGGTGAAGGGTGGGTGCAGCAAGCAGGAATTCGCCCCGCGACTCGGGGAAGCACCCTCTTGCCCCGAGTCTCGGCTCGGCGCGGGGATGAACGCCTCTGGTCGGTGGCCTGGTGGTGCCCATCGGTTTCGTTTGAATGGATTGGTTGGCTGGTTGGTTTGGTTGGAACGAACTCCCACTGTCCTGTACACATTCAGCCAACAAATGTGTTGACCTAACGACTATTTGACCACACGTTGAACTGCTGACCCAGTCGTTTTGCTTTACTGTAGGCCAGGAGATGTTTCGGATTAGGCAGACTGTTATGAAATATATCTCACAGTATAGCGCAGAATACTTTAGGGGAGTGAGACTACAGAATGTGTCTAACAATGAAAGACATATGGCTTATAAAGAGTATGACTACAATGAAAGAGCATGACCCAGTACGGATTTGTGAAATCCTTACATCCTCCCACCTTCTAAAGAGTGCCCTCCGTATATCGAGGGTCAAGCTGTCATTAAAAGTAATCCCAACCGTGAATGTAGGTCTTCAATACAATGACGAGGATAATGATTACGCCGTCCTGGCGAGGTCTTCAGGTCGAACTCCAATCGAAGGTCAGAAAATGTCGAAACGATCGCTTTAAATCTCAGTCGTCGATTTCTTCAGCTGACCGAACAGGCAAGGGTAAGTACTACAGCGGAAACCTTGTAAACAGTGAAAACTGTCGAAGGACGATTGATGATGACGCGTAGTGTAACGAATTTCCATTCCTTACTGAGTCGTATGCAAGCGCGTACACCCGAACTCCTCGACTCGTCACGTTCGGCCTCATTTATCGGCCCAACCCTTTCTCGAGTCGCGTCCGGCACTGTCGCCACATTGCGGAACCTACCCACGTTCCAATGTTATCGCCCTAGTACGCCAACCCCTATATAACCTCGTGCCTTCATTGCAATAGCGACCTTGTATTCTCATGTCATAGTTCGTTGACACTTCCTATATTATAACAGCTGGTATTAGAGCCCGAGCTTTCCAGGAACCTTCTGTTTTCCCGTTTAATTAGTTAAGGGTGGTCAGAGGGGATAAGCACGGCTGCACAACAGTTGTCTTCAATCGTAAATATTTTTGCGTCAACAACTACAGCGTGTGCGCTAGCTTCTGCCCCGTCCTGACCGCCATGGTCCCGGTAGATTCGACGGTTGAGGAACAGTCCTCCTCGACTGCTGCGAACCCTGCCCCGGAAACTGTGGACCTGCAAGCATTAATGGAGCAGTTGAATAATTTGACAAGCATCGTCAACAACCTCCGCGACGAGAACCAACGACTTCGCCAGGCGCAGGAGAGGCGTCCAGAGGAGCCGGGCGACGGTGCATGAAGCAAGGTGGGTGAGCAACAACCGTCGCCAGTGGAGCTGGCACGACTAGCGGCAACAGCCCCGCACTCGACAAGTGGCGGCGTGGGATATCAGCAACCCGCTCCATTCGACCTAGCTAATAAAGACGTGACGATGCGGCAGTGGATATTCGCAATGAATATATATTTTCATGCGGCGGGCATCCGAGACGATCAGAAGCGGATCAGCCACGCTTTAACACTGTTGCAAGGGGCCGCCCTACAGTGGTGGAAGGTCATCGTCGACTCAGCGGCAACTCGCACAGAAGGACAGCACGAGTGGTCCGAAGAATTCGGCGATGAAGACGAGGCAGATTTGTTGTTCGGTGCGACCCACATTCGCACGTGGGCAACGTGGTGCGCAGAGCTTCGCAAGCGGTTTGAGCATGCTCCTGACTCAGACAAAGCGCGCGAGACTCTACGCATGTGGAAGCAGCTGGGATCTGTGTCCGAGCACACCACGTCATTCTTGACGTTGGTGGACAGATGTGGCTACATGCACGAGTTGGAGAAGGTCGACATGTACATGGGCGGGGTGAAGCCTGAAATATAGTACCACATAAAACTGCAACGCCCTGCGAAGCGGTTACAAGACTTCATCCATCTCGCCGAAGCCGCTGATTCGCTCACGAAGCCGAGGACGAACTTCTACGACGGAGGTCGCCCTCGAGAACAGTACCAGCGCGCCACGATAAAAGGGGTGGACGTAGTGGATATTTATGCAGTTGCCCCGCAAAATACGGGGCTATGCTACCACTGTGGCCGGCCGGGTCACATCCGACGCAACTGCCAAGAATTCATAGCCCTCCAGAATTCTATGGGGAAGAAGCCGGAGGAGCGACCGGGAAATGGGTCGCGTCAGTAAGTACCGGGCCCCTTACTGACGGGCAGGCTTCTTCGCCCGAGCCACACAGTCCCCACCAGGTCATGATCCTGATTGCTGCAATCGACCGGACCCGGACGAATAAGGGGGACAAAACAGCTGATCACCCTGTGTTGATGGAGGGGAAAGTCAACTGAGTATTATTGAAGATTTTCGTTGATGGAGACGCGAATCACAGCCTCATACAGCAGGACAGGGCTAAAAAATTGGGTATACCCTTACTCAAGTGTCTACCCGAAATCAACGCCCGACTAGTGGATGGAACACCACTGGCAATACGGGAGAGAGTGGAGCACGTCAGCTTTCATTGCAGGGAGCATGCAAAATTTCGGATGGGGCTGCTGGCAACTGCTCTCGACGAGTGCGACGTGCTGCTGGGACGTGATTGGCTACGACGGTACAACCCGAAGATCGACTAGACGACGGGCATAAAGCTCGATGGGATCTCCTGCGAGCTACCGAAATGGACGGGGCCTCGCATGCGAAGCACCCAAGTCCATGCGATTACTTTCAAGCGCGCAATAAAAGCAAGAGTTGCAGCGTACGCCGTTGATCTTTGCGAGGTGACGTCTACGACAATAGCCGAAGATATCGCGAAGCTGTGCGAAGCCGTTCCTCCGGATTTAGCAGACCTGATTTGGAAATACCCCGAGATTTTCCTGGACGACCTGCCAGCTGGGCTTCTACCGAGCCGACTAGAAGACCATCGCATCGAGCTGGAAGCAGGCGCCCAACCGACGGTACAGCGACAATTTCGGCTCAGCCAACCAGAACTGGAAGAATTGCAGCAGCAACTGGATTACCTTATGACGAAGGGATTTATCTGGCCTAGCACGTCCCCATACGCAGCCCCGATACTGTTCACGCTGAAGAAGGATAGAGGATTCAGAATGTGCATCGACTACCGCGCGCTCAACCGAATCACCATCAAGTCACGTTACCCGATCCCGCGAGCTGACCAACTCCTGGACCAACTTCGCGGCACCAAGTTCTTCTCGAAAATCGACTTGCGAGGGGGTCACCATCAAATTTGCGTCGCAGCCGAGGATTGTCACAAGACGGCATTTCGAGCCCGCTACGGCAGCTACGAGTACCTGGTGATGCCTTTTGGCCTCACGAACGCGCCCTCGACTTTCCAGATGACCATGAATGAAATTTTCAGGGAACTCTTGCATAAATGCGTCATTATCTACCTCAAGGACATACTAATCTACAGCCGCAGCAGGGAGCAGCACTTACAGGATCTTGATGCAGTCTTCACGCTGCTGCACAAGAATCGCCTCATCACGAAAAGGTCTAAGTGCGACTGTCTTAAGCAGGAGTTTGGGCCACATCGTTTCTACTGAACGAGTGAAAATTGACCCCAAGAAAATCAAGACCATACAGGAGTGGAAGCCGCCAAGCAACATCAAGGAGCTGCAGAGTTTTTTCAGTTTTGTCAATTACGCTCGCCGGTTTATACCCAACATGGCTGGGTTATCTGCGCCGCCAATTGACCGCCTCAAGGATCACGATTGTTTTTGGTGGGGAGAGAAGTACACTGAGGGAAAAAACCGTCCGGATGTTTGGCACTAAGTTGGGTTTTTAGGCTTTGAGACTACTGTATGGTAAACCTGCAAGATGCACGGTGGTACACGTTGGGAGAGGCACAAAGTGGATGCGTTCACTGCACTGAGAACTAGATTAGTACATTGGATCTAACTCATACTCCAAAAGATATACAACGAGTACATCCGGACAGTTTTTTCCCAGGACAAAGAGCAAACTTCCTAACAACGTTTCTAGTACCTAGTCCACCTACTCTTGGCGTTGATCACCATCCACACCCTCCTAGGCATGTTATCTATGTGGTTAGTGCAGACCTTTGCATGAAGCTTCTCGCACTCTTCCTTGACCCACCATTTTGCATAAGGGGGTGAGCACAAGGAAAATTGCGAAGTATTTGAGCGTATGCATAAGTATTGTGCACGAATTCAGATTGAATGTAATCTCTGAGACTAGCCAAGCCGAAGGGTGTCCAAAGATGCCATTAGTTGAATGGTCTTGGCTTATCATGGGTTGTTTTCGTCGAATCAGAGTAGGGTGAAATCACGTATAGAGTGGCAAAATCTAGCATACCCGCCACGAAACTTAGGGTAACAGAGCACGGTCGATTGAGCATCCTTTCATTGTTAGAATCATGTTAAAATCCGCGAGTCTAGTGACAGTGCATCAGTTGAAGAAGTCTCGACTGTTTGGGAAGAATATCAGGGTTGAGGTCTGGTGAGGAAGAGGGGCACTCCAGAGCTACATATCCATGCTCTCCGAGCCATTCCAAGCCTAGGCAGGGAAAATGACATGGAATGCCTTGGAGAGCATAAGTATGTTGCGCTGGAGTGACCCTTTTTCTCACCAGACCTCAATCCAGATATTCTTCCCAAACAGTCGAGGTTTCTTCGACTGCTGCCCCGTCACTAGACCCGCGTATTTTAACATGGTTCACACAGTGAAAGGATGTTCAGTCGACCGTGCTCTGTTACCCTAAGATTCGTGGCGGGAATGCTAGATTTTGCCACTCTATTCGTGATTTTACCCTAGAACGATACGACGAAGACGACCCATGATAAGCCGGGACCATTTAACTAATGGCATCTTTGGACACCCCTCGGCTTGGCTAGTCTCAGAGATTACATTCAATCTGAATTCGTGCACAATACTTATGCATACGCTCAAATACTTCGCAATTTTCCTTGTGCTCACCCCCTTATGCAAAATGGTGGGTCAAGGAAGAGTGCGAGAAGCTTCATGCAAAGGTCTGCACTAACCACATAGATAACATGCCTAGGAGGGTGTGGATGGTGATCAACGCCAAGAGTAGGTGGACTAGGTACTAGAAACGTTGTTCGGAAGTTTGCTCTTTGTCCTGGGAAAAAACTGTCCGGATGTACTCGTTGTATATCTTTTGGAGTATGAGTTAGATCCAATGTACTAATCTAGTTCTCAGTGCAGTGAACGCATCCACTTTGTGCCTCTCCCAACATGTACCACCGTGCATCTTGCAGGTTTACCATACAGTAGTCTCAAAGCCTAAAAACCCAACTTAGTGCCAAACATCCGGACGGTTTTTTCCCTCAGTGTAGCAAGCTGCATTCGACCAACTGAAGATCGCCCTCACATCGCCGCCCGTCCTTCGCATCTCCGATCCTGACCGCCCATACGAAGTCATCACTGATGCCAGCAATATCGCCATCGGTGCAGTTCTCCTACATGATTTCAGCGACGGATTACAGCCGGTCGCCTACGAATCACGAAAGCTGCAGGGCGTGGAAAAAAACTATACGGTACACGACAAGGAAATGCTGGCGATCGTCCACGCGTTCAAGACTTGGCGGTGCTACCTGAAAGGCGTTGACGTCACTGTGCGAACTGACCATAAATCCCTCCAGTACCTGCGAGCCCAACCGAATCTCAACCCGCGACAGATCCGATGGCTCGATTTCCTCGAGTCGAATTTCTACTACACCAACACCTACAAACGGGGCGCCAATAATATTGCCGATGCCCTGACTCGACCCACTGCCCATGCAGTCGCCATACTAGTCGCCCATACCCACCCACTATTTACCGGACTATTTACGCACGGCTACAAAATCTACCCCTTCTTCCGCTCTGCTATTCATCAACAGCATACCACCGCCAACGGACACTATTTTAATAAGCGTGACACAACCCACATCTGGGTGCCCGGCTACGATTTACTTTATACCCTTCTAATCCAGGAATCCCACGACAACCCTACCTCCGAGCATTTCGGAGTCGACAAAACTATGAAGACGTTGTAGTGCAATTATTATTGGCCGAACATGGCCGACGACGTGCGCAAGTACGTGTCCTCCTGCACCACCTGCCAGATCATGAAATCATCCCATCAGTAAGCAGCCGGACTACTACAGCCGTTAGATCTGCCCGAGCGACCCTCGCAACAGATCACGATGGACTACGTGACAGGACTGCCGGCCGGTCCCAGCGGAAAATGACGCCATCCTCGTGGTCGTTGACCGACTCACGAAAATGGCGCACTTTATCGCCTGCCAACAGAAAATCACGGCTGAGCAAATTGCCCAACTGTTCATCACCAACGTCATTCGACTGCACAAACTGCCTACCGCCATTATTTCAGACCGAGACCCGAAATGCACATCGAATTTCTGGCGCCACCTGTGGGACCAATTGGGCTCCAAACTACAATTTTCCTCCGCCTACCACCCACAGACCGATGGGCAGACCGAACGAGTCAACCAAGCTATGGAACAACTCATTCGGACTACCTGCACTGACCCATAGACATGGGAGCAATCCCTTCCGCTGTTGGAATTCGCGTATAATAACGCGCCCTCTGCCACAACCCATCAATCCCCATTTCCCTGAATTACGGACAGGACCCCGTGGTACCCTCTACCCCGAACATCGAAACACCCATGCCCCGGTCCCAGAAATTTGCCGAAGACATTCTCGCCACCCGAGAAAAAGCAGCTGAAGCAATCAGGAAAGCCAACCTGGTTGCAAGCCGACAAGCCGATCGTCATCGACGTGACGTTACTTACAAAGTGGGAGATCTCGTACTACTCGACACTCGCAATTTGCGCCTGCCGATCTCGAGCAAGCTCCGACCCAGATTCTATGGGCCTTTTCAAGTGACCAATATGGTGACACCTGTTACTGCTCACCTCCGACTCCCGGCTGACTGGCGTCAGCACCCGGCTTTCCGCGTCAGCCTCCTCCGGCCCTACGTCCCCAGTTCGTCGGACTTGGCACGCCAACGTAATGTACCGTAGGTGATGCCCCTACAGGAACCAACAACCGAGCCCTTGAAAATTCTCGGCCATCGAGTCACAACGCAGCTGAACCGTCGGATGGTGGATTTTCTCGTCCGCTGGCACGATCGCATGTCAGAAGATGACAGCTGGGTGCCTCTCGCGGAGCTAGAATCACAACCGATTCTAACAGCGTATTATCAGCATCGGAATGTTTCCGATGCCCGCAGTCTCGTTTAGGAGGGGGGGGGGGTAGTGTAAGGAATTTCCATTCCTTACTGAGTCATACGCTAGCGCGTACACCCGAAGTCCTCGACTCGTCACGTTCGGCCTCATTTGTCGGCCCAACCCTTTCCCGATTCGCGTCCGGCACTGTCGGCACATTGCCGAACCTACTCACGTTCCGAGGTTATCGCCCTAGTACGCCAACCCCTATATAACCTCGTGCCTTTCATTGCAATAGCGACCTTGTTTTCTCACGTTTTAGTTCATTGACACTTCCTATATCATAACACGTGGTTGATGAAGTATCATGTAATGATGAGTGACGAATGATGTGGATAGTCGAAATGAAGACCCGTTCACCAAACGCGAGGTTGTTCGTAACACATGCGAGAGCACACGTCTGTGTATTACGAAAATCAGCGAAATCCATCATCGAACAGACGAACAGAGGCGCGGAAGCGTACCAGTGACGATGTAGATCGCAAATGAATGATGGAACACCCCGGTAGGGTTAGAAAGAATATGCAGCGCAGCTGCACTTCTCCCCCCCTCCACGAAGAAACATGTAAGGAATTACGATTCCTTACTGGGGCTCGTCACAGCGAGTACACGCGAACCTCTCGGTTCCGCAGGCTCGGCCCTTGGTTCTCGTGCCAAACCAGCCCCTGTCGATCCTTTCGGCCCCAACCTGATCCCGAGTAGCCCCCAACCCATTTTGACCCCATCACCCTTGGGACCGTCGAGCCCTTGACTGGTCCAACCCTAGATATTCAACCCTGGTCAACTCGCACGATATAAGCCCTAGGCCTAATTTCTATCGTCATTCTGTAATCACTTTCCCCGATAGTATTCTGTGCTATACTCTGAGTTATAATTCATAACAGCTGGTATCAGAGCTACGTTCCTGCCCATTAGGCTTTCGGTAGGAGAGCAGACCCTATCGGGGAAGGGGGCGGAAGGATGCTGATGGCGAGCGAACGTCGTGGATATTAATTGCACGAGCGTTGCCGATGCCGTCGGATCCTGTCCGATGGATGGCTGGGATTGGCCGGTCCTCCCCTTCCTTGGGCATAGACGGAATTATTTCCCGTCGAAGAGTGGGCGATGTTTTCGCTGTGTTTTTCGGGTATGTTCGTTAGAGCTTTCGTAATTTTCGGGTGTTCGGACGGAGTTTTGGGATTGGCTTCCGAAAAAAACTAAGGCTTCATCAGGGGACAACAAGTGCACGAGAGTCCTCAGGCGGCTGGGAGTTGGTCGTCACGAGCGCACGGGGTGGAAAAAATGGCTGGATGTACAACGATGTATGTCTGGTGCGCCATGAAGCTGCAGGGTGAACTGTAGCTGTGTCGCGGGTCCCGACGTTTCCGGCAGGCTAGTTGCGGGCGATGGACGGGACTTTAAAACTGTTTCGGCAATGGGTGGATCCGACAATTTTGGAACGACACGATCGTACAAAGACGTGTGGGTGTGCAGTTGTGTGGGAGCAGCTGGGATTAACGGCCTCGGCGCTATTTATTACGACGGCCATCTGGAGGAGATGACGTTGTGCTGGAGTGAGTGTACTCAGCGAGGGCGACTTCCCGTATGGGGAGGCTTTTTTTGTGGACCAGCGATTCATACCCCCACGATCAACGGAAACGGAGGCCACCACCCCTGGGTGTGTATTAAGTGTTTTTCCACCGGTCGCCGAATGCGTTAACTGTCAGGAGCTGAAGCAGTTGGAGATGAACGACGGGCGTACTAGAGCAGATGGGTTGGCGGCGTTCGGGTTGCTACTCCCTCAGCTACGTTGCCCGGAAATCACCATTCCCATCAGGTAGCAGTGTCAACTTATTAATCGATGGCTTCTGGCTGAATAAGGGGGGTGAACTTGCAAACTACACTATGCTGATAGATTGTCCCCAAAATTTTAGGAGTTATTGTTGCAGTGGAGCTGACGGTTTTTCACCTGGTGCAGCAGAAGGAGGTTCCGACTTTTGCGGGTGTAGTTTGACAAGTTTCCGATGGAGAAGGGAGTTGTCTAGCGGTCAGTAGGCGAGGTCGTTAAAGCTCCTCTGACTAGAAGCATGCGCACTCCAATCTCTACGGATTCTCCTAATTAGTTAAGCAGCAGCGAAGCGGTGTTGGGTAACCTACAGCAGCCGTGAGATGGGTGAACGTCTGCACGGCCAGCAGACAAGGGTACCAGAGTATATTTTAGTGTTGGGTAACAGCTGGGCAGAGATCGACGACGTATGATGTGCATTGACCCTGATCGAATGCAAAAACATCATGCCGAGGCGGTGGACTCCGGTGTTCCCTAATATAAAGGGTGCCGTGCATGCTTACAGCTGGTGGAGAAACCGTGGGGGCACTGCTCAAGGACGCCGTGATGCCTGAGTTTTTTTTAGGTAACTGCGAAGCGGAGTTACGGTATTTGCAAAGTACCGTGTGGTTCTGATATTTTCGCTGGAGCGGTTCAACGTTTTACAGCTGGAGTTGTGCCTGCTATCTTCAGGGATACGAGCGACATCGACCGATATTCTCGGAAATGATTCATTTCATCGACCATCACGTTATTCGCCAGTTATCATTTCAAGATATTCAACTGCCACGCGCCATCATCAATCGACCACTCGACATGTTTCACTGTTCATTGTCTTCCACTGGAGTATTTACCCTTGCCTGTTTGGTCAGCAGAAGAATTGGAGCATCTTCGACGGGCGAGATTAAAAGCGATCGTTTCGACGCTATCTGACCATCGATTTCAGTTCGACCTCAAGACCTCGTCAGGCCAGCATAATCATTACGCTTGTCACAGGGCTGAAGATCTACTGTCACATCGGGGATTACTTTAAATGACTGTTCGGCCTCGATAAAGGGGGTGCCTTCCTTTTAAAAGGTGGGAGAGTGTAAGGAATTACGATTCCTTACTGGGGCTCGCCACAATGAGTACACGCGAACCTCTCGGTTCCACAGGCTCGGCCCTTGGTTCTCGCACCAAACCAGCCCCTGTCGATCCTTTTGGCCCCAACCTGATCCCGAGTCACCCCGAACCCATTTTGACCCCGTCACCCTCGGCACTGTCGAGCCCTTGACTGGTCCAACCCTCGACATTCAACCCTGATCAACTCGCACTATATAAGTACTAGGCTTCATTTCTATCGTCATTCTGTAATCAGTTTCCCCAATAGTATTCTGCGCTATACTCTTAGTTATAATTCATAACAAAACAGCTCCCTGTAACTTGGGTAAAACTCCAAGAAACCCAACGTTCCTAGATATTCGACAACCCACTCTGCTGCTTAAAAATCCCATAACTCAACTTCAAAGATGCCCCTTCAAAACTCCAACCGCTAGAAATCCCAAATATGCTCCAAAGTTGAAATTCCTCTGCAGGGTAAACCACAACCTGCTCCTTCTTCAGCGAAAATGTTGGAACTTCACCCGTGATTTAACAAATACCGCAACTCTGCTTTACAGTTGCATCTGCTTCATAGCTACCCGTAAAACACTGACGCGCGTCCTTTAGCAGATCCCCATTGGTCCGTCACCAGCTGTACGCATGAGCTGAACCTTTTAATCCAGGATACTCATCGTTCACCACCCGGGCATGGGTCTTCGGCCGTCGATCATGGCTGGCGAACATCATACACCGTCCATCTCCTTACAGGTGTTCCCCAACTTTAAAGTTTGCCAACTGCTACGTCGAATTTTGAAGAATTCCCCACCCGGTACCCTAACGTTACCCGGCGCGCAAACGTTCACCCGTCGCCACGCTCATCTTTATACCAAAGTAGATCCTATGCATTATCGCGTGTCGAAGTAGCTTGCGTAATCCGAGTCAACTCCCTCCGCTTAGCCGCACTCCAAAACTTTCAGAAACAATGACCAACTCCTCCAACAGTACTGCAGGTTCACCCATCTCGCGGGTGCTGCAGGTTACCCAAAATGCTTTGCTGCTGCAGGTTACCCAATAGGGACTTCTCCCCTATCGGAACCTAGATAGGCAGAATCATGGCTTGTATACCAGATGATATGAAATATGACTCAGAGTATAGTGTAGAATACTATAGGGGAGCATGACTACAAAATGTGTCTAACAATGAAAGGCTTAGGGATTTTATAGTGCTAGTTGACCAGGTTGAACCTCGAGAGTTGGACCAGTCAAGGGCTCGAGAGTCCCGAGGGCGACGGGGTCAAATTGGGTTCGAGGTGCCTCGGTAACGCGTTCGGGGCTGAATAGGTCGGCGGGGGTGGTTTGACGCATGACTCAAGGGCTGAGGCTGCGGACACGCCCTGTTCGCGATACTCGCTGTGGCAAGACCCAGTAAGGATTCATGAAATCCTTATACAGACGAATGCAATACGATAACTACATGCTCAATTCTAATGTATAATGCGACTGCAATCAACTAAAAGACCAGCCAATCAAAGGTCGCAAATACACAACACCAACGCATGAATATGGCATCGAAGAAAGGGCAATCATCAGTCTGAGGAAACTAAAGCGATCAATTATAGTCCGCAAGATCTTCATGATTGAACTACGGTAGTGCACTTTGCGGAGACGATTGATTGGTCGATGAACTCTGTCAGAGTCATGTCGACTTCTTGAGTAAGAAGGGACTCCATCTCTTCTTTGTCGAGGGTTTCGAGTACAGTCCCAGCTATGTTGCTAGAGGAGGCTGTCAGAGTTCGAAAGGTACGGCAGATACCGTCTGGACCAGGGTCGTGCAGATCTGTCTCACCTGGGTGTATGTGATGACTAACGCATGGACGGATGTCGGGGCGAGTCCACTCCTTATCGTTTTTCCATGCAAAGTTGATGGGAACAAGGTTGATCAGTTCATGGCTGTCGCCGTTGCAGTTGGGGATGTCGAAGTCTAGAATGTAGACTCCATTTATTGCTAGGTGTCGTGTCTGAGGGTCGGTGCCGACCTCGACGCCACATGACATGAGCTGGGCCGTTGATAGTAAAGTGTCGCGGAGGTTCTGAACGATGAGCACGTCGTCCAACGTGATGTGGATCAAGGATTTGAGAGCCTGTAGGACTACGATCCCTTAGTGCTTGGCCACCAAGCGCTCGTTGTTGGCGATTGTAATGTAAGCTGCAGCAGGGACAATGTTGGAGATGAATCGCGCTTATCCGACCATGTGCTATCCGCAACAACTGTCCAGGCACCAGGTGTTGTAGTTGTCACGGTTGTTGTTGGCGATCATCGCGATTCTTGGAGTAAGGAGGCAAGGACGGTTCGAGTCGTGTAGGAGGTGGTCCTTAGGGAAGGAATCCCATTGTTGCCTGTTGCCTTCGAATGTTGTGTTGGGAATGTAGGGAGTAGGCTCCAGTAGAGGGATGGGCAGTTTCCATTCTTGCTCTTCCTCATCGTCGTCGTAGCTTTTCGTGTTTGTCGTAGGGGTTGTTGTAGTCGTAAGCCCTCACGACTAGGGCGAAGTTGCCTTGCCTTGGTCGGGGCGGTGGTACACGAGGGCATCGATTCACTCACTGTGTGGGACCCTGTGTTCTCATCGCCATGACGATTTGGTGGTGGGTTGTTTTGTTTGACCATGTGTGCCTAGCTGAGTCGGACGAGGCTCCGAGAATGCCGGAAGGCGCGGGAATAGTCGCTCGTCCGTGTGGGACGGGCGACTGGTCTGGCGCGGGTCCTGTGGGGAAAATTTGATGGGTCGCCTCTGATGGGAGTGCCCCCATCGACTTCCACTCACCGACTTCCACTTGAGGTAGGCGTATAGGATGGTCTTGCACTGCTTCCCACTCGGTTTTGGCAGCGTTCAGTAGAGTGTCCGAAGGTTTTGTAGAGTTTGCAAAAATAGTGGCGACTGTGTGTGTTGTGGCGAAGCTTCTTCTGGCCTGAATAGAAGGCTACCCTTTCTTTGTGTGGAACTCTCTCCTTGTAGAGGTCCATGTCTTGTTGCTCAGCCAGCAGTGTCGCGCAAAGAGTCGCTTATGAGATTTCACCTTGTTGCCTTAGTAAGGCTTTGCACGGTCACATTGGGGGGTAAGTCCAGTGAGTACGATCGTCATGAACATATCTTCAGCAATCGTGTTCCCAAACTTGACGATCTGGTGGCGGATGCTTTAGCAGCGGTTGATGTAATTGTTGGCCTTCTCTCCTGAGACCATTTTCACTTCTAATAGCTGGCCGAGTAGTCCACTCGAGGACATCGAGTCCTTCGGCTGATAGAGTTTTGTCAGGTACAGCCAAGAGTCTCATGCCGGAGCGGCGTGTGTTTTGAACGAACGAATTCCGAGTTGCTCGAAAGCGAGTAGATTCCGAGGGAATGATAAAAAAGTTTTGAATCACAGCTTGAATTCCTTTTGGGGCAACAGATTCCTGTCGCCCTGCCCGGCGCGTC